TGCCACCATTGCGGCCCTTTTATTTGATACTAGCACTCAACACCCTACAATGCCGGGTATTGTACTTTGTCATTTGGTAGAAAATGCAATTTATAGAGTTTTTAGACGAAGATACATAACGCATCTCTTTCTTTATTCTTAAATTTTTCTTTTTTATTTATTAAAATTTAAATTTAAGATTTTCAATTTAGAATTTCAACTTTTTTAATTGTTGAGTCACCCAAGATTTTAATTTTAGTTTCATATTTTCACTCAAATTCATTCTTACCGGAAAGTTGTTTTTTTTTTCCTCATAATAAAAAAACATTGAATCAATTTTCTAACTTTATTTTTAATTCATCATAACATAAATGGGTTTGCTTTGACTCTTAACAAAATTTTTAATTTGATTTCAGGTTACACATCATAATGGTTGCAAGTTGCAACTAAACTCGGTTTATACTTAGCTTAATTTAATAAACTGTTTAATAATTTAGGTAACACATCATAATGTTTGCAAGTAGCAACTAAACTCGGTCTATAATTAGCTTAATTTAATAAATAGTTTAATAATTGTTGTACTTTTTTCTGTTTTTGTCTATTGTCTTTGAATACTTTGAGACCCATTTGCTATTTTTTATTATTATTTCAATTTAGTATGATATGTTAACTTTTAACAATAATTTCACTTTATTTGGTTAAATTGATTTTCAATTATATCTTTTGTGAATTTTATTCTTTTCAAAATTAATTTTATAAGGGTAATAGATTTCGTTTTTACTTTTATCATATCCTGCTTCAATTTTCTCTTTAGATGATTCTCTTTTGCAGAATAAATCATAATTATTCATATATTTTAATAACTTACATAGTATATCATAAACTTCTTTACTGGTTATAATTATTTTATTTTAATTTTAATTTATTTTTATGTTAAAATTAATGAAAATTTTGTACAATAAAACTATTCTGAAATATTTCACAAAATTTATAAACTATTTTAAAAAAACTAATCTTTTAAATTAAAATAAGATTAGCCTAATCATTAATAAATTAACCATTTAATTAAGCCGTTTATAATTCATATTTCCATATTGAAATTGACGGGTGATGATCATTTTAACAGTGGGGTGACAAAGGTCGTACGGTCCGGGGTCTTTGTCAAGAGCTGGCCCATTATATTGTGAGCTTGTTATCAAGCTCTAAGAGGCCCATATTGCGTGGGCCCAAGCCCGCCTTGGATAATACCGCAACTTATTTCTCCTTCCTACTAGAGAGAGAACGATATAAATAAGGATGTTAATTTTATATTTTATATTTAAAAATATTAATTTTATTAATTTTTAAATAAAAATGTTAATTTTTAATTTTTTTTATTTAAAAATATCAACATTCAATTTTTTTATTTAAAGATGTTAACTTTCAGCATTTATATATATTTACCACATTAACATTATCATTTAAATAATTTTTAAATTGAAAAATTTAAAAATTAGTATCCTTAAATAAAAAATTTGAAAGTTAATATTTTAAATAAAAAAAATAAAAATTAACATCTTTATTTAGAAATTAATAAGTTAATATTTTTGAATAAAAAATTGCAAAGTTAGGATCCTTATTTATATCTTTTCTTCTCTATGAAACCATGAATGATCATTATTAGAAAATAGCATTTAACCAAAAATAATATAATCGATAGCCAAAAAACTATTGATTATACGAGTATAATCGATAAAAACTTTATCGATTATGATAAAATTGTCAATTATATTTGTATAATTGACAAGTACTATTAGCTGTTAATTATGTCAAAATTCTGTAAATATATATATGTTAATATTTAACCTTCCACTAATAGTATTTATAAATATATTATATGTCTCATAAATTATAAATTTGATAATAAAAATTTAATACTATCAAATATGATATTATTTTTCATTAATATTTTAGATATCTTATGTATATATAATAATTAAGTTAGCTATAAATATTTAGTGTTAGAATTGATAATTTAATCAAAATATATGTGTATAATATTAATTAAAAATAATATCATATTTGATAGTGTTAAATTTTTATTACTAAAGTTATGATTTACAAAATACATAAATATGTGCTACTAGTGGATGGTTAAATATTAACATATATCTATAAAATTTTGGCATAACTGATAGCCATTGTTGGTTGTCAATTATATAAGTATAATCAACAAAATTTTTATTAATTATGTAAATATAATCAACAAAAATTTTATTGATTATACATGTATAATTGACAACCACTATTGGTTATCAATTATACTTGTATTTTGCCTCACTTGACTAAAAAGAAAAAATTGAATTTCGCAATTTAACAAATTCAAAATCTAACTAATAAAGTATAATCAATAGAAATATTATTGATTATACTTTTTATATATATAGAGCCAGAAATAGAACTTTCAAACATCCTTTCATCTCCTATTCTTTAAAATTTTCCATTTTCCTTCCCTTTTCTATAGATGAGGGCACCTCATTTTTCTCTTCTACCTTGCTTCATCTTCTCTCTTTTCTTCTACCTTTCTAAATCTTTCATTGTCTTTTTCCTTTTTAACTTTCTTTCGTCCTACCTTCTCCCTAAACTATACCATTTTAATTCTTGGTTTTTTTTTTTTTTTTT